TCCCCAAAGCTTTTTGTGGTAATCATATTCTTTTCTGTACACTTAACAAAGGCCTTTATTTTGACAAGTTTTATTCTCTAACAGTTAATGGAAGGTTATATGAATAGAAAATAAATATTTTACATAGGAATGATAAATTCCATTTTCTAGAATTTTGGCAACCAATTTTTTTTTTTTTTTTTTAATTGTACCTTTACAATTTGTGTATATAATGATGCTTGATTGTCTGGGTATGTTTCAAAGTCCTGATGAGCTTTCCAAATGTTCAAGAAAGATTAAATTATGTTCTTTCTAGATGAAAAGTTTGTAGGTTATATTTTGTTCAAGTTCTACAAAAGCTGATAATCTCTTTATGAATCAGTGTTTTTTTGTAGTATTATTTTCAGACTGGGATCCTTCATTTATAAAAGATGGCAATAAATTTTCACTGAAATAAATTAATCCATTTCTACTGTGATGTTATTGCAAATAGGGATGATGAGAAGAAATCACATCTCCTTTTAAGCAAGGGATCCATTTAAGAAATGACAAGATTTAGTAAAATGCATAATTTCCTATCATGCCTTCTCTCTTTAAAAAACAAATAAATAAATAAATAAATAAAGTATGACTATCTCCTTTAGTCTGTTAAGCAGAAATAGTACATTACATTGAATATCATTAATCTCCAATATCAGGTCCATTCTGAATACCTATAATACACAGGAAGTTTGATTGAAATATCTAATATACTTGTCTAGAAGTATATTAGGATACTTTTCATTTGCATATACTAGTTTAATATGGATTATTTCTAATAGATTATACATCAAACTAAGGTGTTCTTGTGGTGTAGTGGTTAAGGCATTTGGCTTCTAAGTAGGAGGTCAGTGGTTTGAAGCCATCAACTGCAGAAGAAAGATCGGGCAGTCTATTTCCTTAAAGATTTACAGCCTTGGAAATCCAATGGGGGTTGCTATGAGTCAGAATCAAGTCAATGGCAGTGAGTTTTTTTTTTTTTTTTTTCTATCAAACTAGACTTGTAAAATACAAAAAAAAGTAAAAAGTTTTAATCATGATATGTGAGTATATATACACATATATAATATGTATATAACAGTTATGCTCCCCATCCACTTCTGGGGTGATTAAAGAATTCAGATAACCACTTGTTGGATCAGTGGTTAGGAAGATTCATATAGCTAGCAAAGAGTTGCTCTAGAGAGCCACTAAACCCCAAAAAAACAAAACTACTGTCATCAAGTTGATTCTAATTCACAGTTCACGGTGACCCTATAGGACAGAGCAGAACAGCCCCATACAGTTTCCAAGGCTGTAATTCTTTATGGAAGCAGGCTACCTCATCTTTCTCCCCTTGAGCATCTGGTGGGTTTGAACCACTGACCTTTTGGTCAGTAGCAGAATGCTTTGCTGCAGCACTACCAGAGCTCCTAAAGAACCACTAAAGAACTCTTTAATGCAAAACTTCTTAGATTCCATGACTTTAAGACACTAACAAAATAAAGAAAATTGTATTATTCATCAAGTAAAATAAATCATATTTCATATCTAATATAGGAATCTATTAACAGTGCTTGTGAAATTTTAAGTGCATACAGATTGCATGGGAATCTTGACAAATTTGCAAATTTTGATTCAGTAAATCTGGGATGGGGCTGATTTTGCATTTCCAACAAGTTCACTTTGTTCAGCAAGGTATTATTAGCATACTTTCAACCCTTTAACAGGAGAGGATAGAGAGGGAGATGACAAATACCATTGTCTCCAAGTGACTATATATTCTTGGGCAGTGGTTCATAAAAGGTTCTTCCCAGACCAGGAACATCAACATTACCTGTGACATTGTTAGAAATGCTAATTAACAGACTTCACTCAGACTTAATGATTTTGAAACTCTAGGAGTGATGCTCAGCAAGTTGTGTTTAAGCAATCCTTTCCCTTCATTCTGATACCTACTAAAGTTGGAGAATTACCATTCTCGGTACTACTTAGAAAGGGACTTCCAATACTACAATTTACCAAAACTGGTTATCTTATGAGATTGTATTCCTATTAGCAGATAACATTCACCCTTATTCATAGGACCAGTTAATCAGTTGCCTTTGAGTCAATTCCCACTCATGACCACCCATTTGTGTCAGAGTAGAGCTATGCTCCACAGGGTTTTCAATGATTAATATTTTGGGAGTACATTGCCAACCTTTTCTTGACAAATTTGTGCATTTTGATTCAGGGTATCTAGAGTGGTGCATGAGTTGTTGCATTTCCCAAAAAAAAATCCACCCTAAGCACCTCTGGGTGGGCTCAAACCTCCATACTTTTATTGGAAGCCAAATGTATTAACCAGTCACACTGCCCCAGGATTCCAATCATAGGACCAAAAACTAAACCCACAGCCATCAAGCTGATTTTGACTCATAGTGAACCTTTATGAGATAGTAGAACTGCCCCAGATGGAAGGAACACACAGTCACTGTACCAAAATGAATTGGTTGATGTTCATCCATTTCAGGAGGTGCCATATGATCAAGAACCAATGGTACTGAAGGAAGAAGTCAAAGCTGCACTGAAGGAATTGGCAAAAAAAAAAAAAGACTCCAGGAAATGACGGGATACCCATTGAAATGTTTCACGAAATGGATGTCACACTGGAGCCACTTAGTCATCTCTGCCAAGATATTTGGAAGACAGCTACCTGGCCAAATGAGTGGAAGAGATCCATATTTGTACCCATTCCCAAGAAAGGTGATCCCACAGAATGTGGAAATCATCAAACAATATCATTAATATCACATGCAAGTAAAATCTTGCTGAAGATAATTCAATAACAGTTGCAGCCATATATTAACAGGGAACTTCTAGAAATGCAAGCTGGCTCCAGAAGAGGATGGAAAATGAGGAATATCATTGCTGATGTCAGGTGGATCTTGACTGAAAGCAAGGAATACCAGAAAGATGTTTACTTGTGTTTTATTGACCATGCAAAAACATTCGACTGTGTGCATCATATAAATTATGGACAGCATTGAGAAGAATGGGAATTCTAGAACACTTAATTGTACTCATGAGGGACCTGTACATAGGCCAGGAAGAAATCGTTCAAACAGAACAAGGGTATACTGCATGGTTTAGAATATGGCAGGGAGTGCGTCAGAGTTGTATCCTTTCACCACACTTATTCAGTGGGTATATTGAGCAAATAATCTTGGAAGCTGGACTGTATGAAGAGCATGGCATTAGGCCTGGAGGAAGACTCACTTACAACCTGGGATATGCAGATGACACAACCTTGCTTGCTGAAAGTGAAGATGACTAGAAGTACTTACTGATGAAGATTAAAGGGTACAGTCTGCAGTATGGATTACATCTCAACATAAAGAAAACAAAATCACAAGAGATGGAGAAAGACTGAAGTTGTCAAAGATTTCATATTACTTGTTTCCACAATGAACACCAATGGAAGCCTCAGTAAAGAAAACAGACAACATATTGCACTGGGCAAATCTGCTGCAAGAGACCTCTTTAAAATGCTGAAGTGCTAAGATGTTTCTTTGAAGACAAAAGTATACCTAACCCAAGCCATGGTATTTTCCATAACCTCATAGGCATATGAAAGCTGGGCAATGAGTAAGTAAGACTGAAGAAGAGTTGATGTTTTGAGATGTGGTACTGACAAAGAATACTGAAAATACCATGGACTGCCAGAAGAATGAACAACTCTATCCTGGAAGAAGTACAGCTGAAATGCTCTTTGGAAGTGAGAATGGCCAGACTCCATCTCACTTACTTCAATCGTATTGTCAGAAGGGACCATTCCCTGGAGAAGGATATCATTCTTGGGAAAGTGGAGGGCCTGTGCAAAAGGGGAAGGCCCTCAATGGACTGCGACAGTGGCTGCAGTGATGAGCTTGGGCATAGCAAAGGTTATAGGGATGCAGTAGGCCCAAGTAGAGTTCGTTCTGTTGTAGGTAGGGTCCTATGAGTTGGAACTGACTTGATGGCACCAAAGAACAACAGTAATAACCATAGGAGCTCTGGTAGCACAGTGGTTAAAGCATTCAACTGTGAACCAAAAGGTCAGTGGTTCAAACTCACCAGCTTCTTGGTGGGAGAAAGATGAAGCAGTCTGATTCCACAAAACTTTACAGCTTTAGAAATCCTATGGGGCAGTTCTATCCTGTCCCATAGGGTCACTAGGGTCAGAATCGACTCCTTGTCAGTAGGATTGGTTTTGGATAAGATCACTAAGGGTCAGGGCCGACTTGACAACAACTTTTGTGGATTTTGGGTGCAAATGACTCATTGCAAATAATGATAAAGTGACTATGGAAAAAAAGAATAATATGCATATAATGATAATGTGTGCACTACATTAACTTTTCCTAGTAATTGGCTCACTTTCATGTGCAAGTATACATTTGGGTTGAATTTATCTCAATCAAAGGCCAACAAACTTTTTGGGAGGAAGGGCCAGATAATACATAAGTTAGGCTTTGCCAGCCATACAATCTCTGTCATGACTATAAAAACAATGGCAGATAATATGTAAATGAATGATCTTGGCTATGTTCCAATAAATCATTATTTATGAAAAGCAAGCAGTGGGTCAGTACAGCACACATGTGTAGTTTGCTGATCCCTGATCTAAATCATATTTTGTTCTTAGATATAAAGAAAATAATCACATATATAAATCCTTCTTTTAGATAATATATTTTAAGGAAATGCAACAGTGTTTAAAATATTTAAATTCAAGAAAATCCCCAAATTTAAGGGAACTTGAAAATGGTTCCCAAGGTATCATCTTCAATAAAGTTTAGTAACTTTTTATATAAGTTTTGTTGAGCATTTCATTTTTTCTCAGAATCTTTAATTAATTGAGATAGAAGAATATAAACAATAGCAATAAACTCAAAAGAAAACAGAAGATTTTTGCTAATATCATCAGCATACTATACTGAGCCAGTGGATACAACACATTTCCAGAGCAGGAGATTTACCTTGACAGGAAATCTGTGAAGGAAAGGCGGACAGGGTATCCATACCGAATGATCTTCACCATCTCTAGGACCCCAATATATTGCAGCTGAGCGGACACATAAAACTTATCAAAAGTATCTGGCAGCTTTGAGTTATTGGGCTTGATGCAATGAATGAAGTGTGGAGTGGACTTCTGAAGTTTTCCAATAATATCGGTTAAAGATTTCTAAGGAGGGAAAAAAAGCTCATGTGATTTTGCAAAGGAGATATTGACTGAAAATATAAATCAGTGTTTCAATAAAAGTCTTTTTCTTCAATACATGATGCTTTAATCTTCAAATAAAGGCAGAAAAATGTGGAACGGAACTCAAATTCTTAAAAAGTCCAGACTTACCAGACTGGTTGAGACTAGAAGAATCTTTGGAACTATTGTATACACCTCTAGTGCGTGTAAAAGCATTATTGATTTTCTTCTAAAAGGTACTTCTTGTTGTTGTTGTTGTTATGTGCTGTCGAGTCGGACTCGACTCATAGCGACCCCTCCTTGGGTTTCCGAGGCAGTATCACTACAGCAAGTAGGATTGCCCAACCTTTCTTCCGAGGAGTGGCTGGTGGGTTTGAACCACCAGCCTTCTGGTTAGCAGTCAAGTGCCTTAGCCACTATGCTACCAGAGCTCCCAAAAGGTACTTAAGCAAGTTAAAAATTGGGAAATATGATTATATGTAAATCCATCACAATTTATATAATAATGCAAGTTTGTGAAATCTTAACACGCCACGAACCCTGAGCTGTGACGCCGTGGAGACTGGACCTCCCCGTTCCAGCTTTTGAAGAAAGGTAGATGTTCCTTTCTTTTTTAACAACTGCAATGGAAACAAAAAGACAAAAATGAGCAGGTTTATTTTATTAAATTCCAATTTGAACCGTGCCCTCCATGTAATGTCACTAACAGGTAAATATGGACTAAAAGTACAGTTTTTATAAATCAGTACCTGCTGAGTTTCTGTGATGGTGCTATAATTTGGGGAAATGGTCATTTATATGTAAAAAAGCTACTACTGCCATCCTTTCAAACTCAGGGTTGTTGTATAAATCAGATCTACCAACATCCTGCACTCATCTCAATTGATAATAAAAAGGTACATAGATTCTCATTTGATTTTGGTGCAATAAACTCATTATGGTGTGCTGGCTGTATTCCTGTGTCCACAATTATCATGACACACAGCTTACTCTGCACCAAAAAGATACTACTTCATATTATAAAGATTTGACATTTCAAAAATCACTGTTTCCCTTAAGTTTAACTATAGTCAGTAATTGAATAGATATATGCTTTGATATAAATGTTTTTGTTTCCTTAATTTTCTTTTTCTTAGAGTAGTAAAAGGGTTAACAAATTACCTGTCTGTGGCAAATAACAATAGATTATGTTCTCTTTGAATAATTCTTTTATCTCTGATAATTCTATGCAGTTCTTAAGAGGAAAAAATAATCCATATGTAGCAAAGACCAAGTAATAATGGAAATAAAAGAAGTCAGTAGAAGTAAGGTCATTGGGTAAAGAAATAAAGAGCAGTAAGTAATTAATTAAATTCCAAAAGGGTTAAAATGAACCTTGGCCACTAATGTAATATTACATTTCAAAAAATCAAATAGACTTGGACTAACATATTAATTGATCTAAAATAATTTATCTTAAAATAAAAAATTCCTGATATGGGAAAAAAATCTGATGAAGCATTCTTGTCAATGCGGTGCCATTGCTATTATGACAATAGCTCATTTCCTTCCATTAAGAACAACTGTCAAGCTGAAATGATTAATTGTAACTGACAAGGGAATGCAAAATGAAGGGACTGGTGCAAGATCAACCTGCTTTCTGCCAACGAAATGCAAAGTGTGATGCTCAGTTAAAGAGTGAGTAAAATCCTAATTCTTTCTGGGTCACAAGGGTGAATGCTGAGAAATGAGGGTGGTTTGAAGGGAAGAAAAAAGGGAAGTGAAGAATGGAACACTTAAGAAATAATCATAATAAATAAATCCCTGTCACGTGAAAGTGAACACTCAATTTCCCTTTCTGGGTGGAGGAACTGCTGAATTATTTTCCTTTTGCAGTCCTTTAGGGAAAAGACTAATGGCATCTGTGTCTCATAATGTTTAATAATTAAGGTTAAAAATTACAGTCTAGAGGTGTGTGGTGATTTTCTTGTTCTAGATTGCCAGAATGATTGAGAAAGGAAAGGCCAGGAGTTCAGTGAAAATAGGAATAAAGATTTTCCTTACAAAAGGTAACCCTTTGTCTTTTTTTAACGTAAAAGGTGTCATTTCCTATGTAGTGAAATTGAATCCCTGTGATTATCCTGTTCTAGCACAACTATATCAAAGGATCCCTAATTCTTGGATCTACTGATTAATTACACACACACACACACACACATACAAATTTCTGTCATTCTTCAAAAATAGTGGCAATTTTAATTATGCTTTCATTTTAATTGGTAAGCTAATATCCATTCCAGCAAGGTACAGTAACTGAATTTCTAAAATGTATTGTCTTGGACACCTTCCCAACTATATTTCTCATCTTTTATAATTTTGGCAGAGGCGAGCAAAGCAAACTAAGATAAAATCAGGCAATAAATCATTAAGAAACCTACAGAATTTCCTACATATTCACTATCAGTTTGAATCAATTTTTGACAATTTCAATTCTATTTTACAAATAGCCAGAACTATTAAGTTGTATGTATAACCAAATTTGTATGGGATAAACACACATTAAAAATTACTAAATTACAAAAAAAAAATGTTAAAAATCCACACAGTAAAAACATTCTAATATCTGGAAAACATATTATGTTTGTAGGAAAAAGAAAAACAACTACAATTTATTGTTTAGAGACCTCAAACCTCTGAAGTGATTAATGTCAACAGAATAAGGAAGCTCAGTTTATTCCTTCTAAGCCTACTGTCTCTGAAGTTACTTCCCATTCATCAAAACGACAGTCATATAGATGAAACATAAATAGGATGTTGCACAGACAACCAATAAAATGACTAATACTGTATCTGCTATTGAATTTTCACTACACGGTATAGTCAGTCCTATATGATTCTCTTCTCTAATGGTAGGCATCCTTTTTTCTTTCAATGAGAATATCAACTTCTTTCATTTAACATTCAAAATGGTGTGTGTTCGTTTTCTTCAGAAACAGCAAATATACTAACGAAAGTTAAAAACAACAGAACAAGAATCACAAAAACTCCTACCTTACTAAGCTCTACATAATTCTTGTTTTCTCCAATAACTGAAGAAGATGTCATTTTCTTGCTGAGCAGGGCAGATTTATATCCTCGAAATTTAAAGGAAGGATAGGAAGATATCAGGGATCCTGTTTGTGACAGCTTGGACTGGAACAAATGATTGATCACAACATTTTCACTAGCTAGAAAATAAATAAATGAGTATTGTAAGTGGGATTAAAATGATTATTTTCACAAGCATTAAACTAATTCCTCATTGAGATATTTAAATGACTAAAACATTGTAAGTGGAAGACATAATTGCTGTAGGAGTAGCAGACTGAGGAGTTTATCCTCCCTATGTCCCTATGTGGGAGCTCTGGTAGCGTAGTGCCTAAGGCATTTCACTGCTAGCCAGAAGGCTGGCAGTTCAAACCCACCAGCCACTCCTCAGAAGGAACGTTGGGCAATCCACTTTCGTAGTGAAACCACCTTGGAATCCCAAGGGGTCTCTATGAGTCGGGTCTGACTTGATGGCACATAACAACAACAACAGCAGCATGTCCCTATGTTACTTCCTCTACCATTTGACTAATGCCAACCTTACTGCTCTCATTGTCAAGAATCCTGATCCCTTGTTTCCCCATTGTCCTTCTGAGTGCTTGGTCCTTCATTCTCTAACTGTATTGCATTTACTTCTATCCCACTTCCATGAACTGAATCTTACCTGCTTTTACCTAAGGGCCTTTCATGTACTTGACCAAGTCATGAAGATATAAGATTTCTGTCAGTAACCAACTATTCTCAGAAAGTAAGGACTCAGGAAAATAGTACCTCAGGATCTACCCTATCTCAGAGTAGCATGTGAATATCCTTGGAGACTCTATATCTCATTTTGTTACTAGGTTTAAAGAAAAGAAAGGTAAGTAGATCTTTTCTGATTCAGTTAAACTAGAAAGGTAAAGCAAGCTGATATATTTTAGAAACTAGGTTACATGAATTCTAATAATTTGGGGGCCTATACTTAACCCCTCTGGGAAAACTGGAGCATAGATGAGTGAGTGACTGTTCACAAGTTTGAATAATATAATAAAAACAATAATGTTGTTGTGTGTCATTGTGTTGATTCCTACTCATAATGACCCTCTATGACAGAGGAACTGTCCCAGAGGGTTTTCCAGGTTGCAATCTTTAAGGAAGCAGATCTTCAGGTTTTTTCTCCCATGGAGCCTCTGGTGGAAACCAACCATGGACCTTTTGGTTAGCAACTGAGTGCTTAACCACTGTGCCACGAGCATTCCTTTAAAAGCAATGAACATAGTATTCAAGGATCTGGGACAAATGTTTCCTGAGTTACCTATATCTGGATATAGACAGTGTTTAAGTCTCAGTTTCCTCTTGTGTAAAATGAAGATTACAATACCTACTTTGAGGATTACTACAAGATTAAAATGTAAAATAATGTACATAAATCACTTAGGATCATGCTTAGTCCATTGAGCAGTTGTCAATGTATAGCAGCAAAGCAGTTTACTTCTTACCTTTTTCATGTTCAGATTTATTTTACCTTCTCAGGTTCAAAACAGAACAGATATAGTATATACCCTTGTAATATTTAGAATTAAAAAAATAATAATAATCACTACATTAAAAAAAAAATAAAAAGGAACTCACAAACAACTCTCAGAGAAGGTAGACACAATTATGAAATGTGGGAAGGCTTGGAAGAACCCTGCTGTGTTAAATTGAAGTTAGAGTAATAAGTAAAAATTAGGGATTTTAATATATATGTATATATTATCTATATCTTTAATATTCTAGTTCTGAAAGAGTCCAGAAGTAATAAAACTCCAGTAGGCAATGAGCTTCCATAGTTGCCAGATCTTAATAGTATTTCTTACTGCCATTCTCCTGAGATTCTTTAACAAATAGATAATTCTAGATCTGAGAGAGGGTAGATGATCATGGAATATTTTTTTTGAAGCCAGGAAATAAGGAAGTGCTCCAAAAATTATGAGACTATTCAAAAGGACATGGGGATTAGATTGAAGGGGTTACTACTGGCCAAAATTTGGATAATTTTACCACCAAAATAATGACAATAGGGATTATAGTTCATCGACTAAAATAAGAATCCATGTATTTATGCTGATAAAAACTATTTAACTAATAAAGGAGAAGGAAAAACTTGACATGCCACTGCAGATTCAGTGATGAGGTTAGAAAATCACAATTCTGCAACCACAAGAGAAATAACTGATGAAGGCAAAATCATGAATGCATCCAAAACTGGTGGGTACAAGTTTGATGAAGAATAAAATATCCATATACTCTCAAAGTCTTTCCTCATAAATTACTTATTCATTACAAACAGAAAATAGTAACTTCAGATTAGAGAAAGCTGGTACCCTGGACTCCACCTTAATAAATGATTTCTCAAACTGTCATCATGTGCCCCTAATACAATAAATTGAGGACACTTTATCGCCTTAATAGTATTCCTATAGAAACACATAATCTGACCCTTACATTGAAAAGATACAAATAAACCCAAATTAAGGGGGTGTATTTAACAAACAACTATCCTGCAATTTTTGAAAAAAATCAGTGTCATAAAAACAAAGAACACTCAGGAATATGGGAAAACAACTATAAAAGTAACATTTGGTAAAATTTGATATGGACTCTAAATTATGTATTAGTGGACTCTGGATTAGGTATGAGAATTGTATTAATGTTAAAAATTCTGATCATGTACTGAAGTTAAGTAAGATAATGTCCTTGGTCCTAGGACATACACAAAAGTGTTTGAACTTAAAAATACATTCAACCTATTCTGAAATTGAAAATAAATGCACATATACCTACACACAGAGAGGGAAGGAAGGAGGGAGGGAAGAAGAAACACAAGAGTGGAGAGAAGAGAAAGAGAATAAAAGAAAATATTGAGGGAAATATATCTGGGAAAACAGAGTATCAAAATTCTTCACACTAATTTTGCAATTTTTCTTGAAGTACAAAATTATTTCAAAATAACAGTTAAAGAATAAATATAAAATAACACGGCCCATTGAAATAAACAAAAATCAAAATGTTAGCATTTATATTTATAGTAATTCTATGTATGGGTGGACCCAGAGATAAATAACAGTACATGTTATTCTTAAAACTGGAAAAAAAAATCCACCTTAAGTAAATCTACAAACCCTAGACATAAATATGGACCAAAACATGTGACCAACCCATTTCTGTCTTTCCTGAGTCATGTGGTCCTATTGCATGAAGATTAATAGGATCCGTGCTATCCTACTGATGCCATCATGCACTGGGACCCTAACATTAGAACCTAAACCACAGGTGAAGGTATTCCAGAACAAAGCAAGTGTCCTCATGATATAAAAAGAGTAATTATGTCATTTTTTCATTTCTTAGAACCAGAAGAAAATAGATATCCTGAGGGAAGAGACAGGATCTGTCCTTTCTTTCCTATTACAAGGAAGCCCTTAACTGTAGGTGTTCTCTATATATATTAAAATGAAAAGTATCTTTCATTGGATTCTATAAACATTATATAAGGCACCTTTCTGCTGTAAAGTAGAAAAATCTAACTCCAGTGTCCCAAATTTATAAGCTGGTATGCAGAGAATCACAGGAATAAAGGAATCAATAATTATTAACAATATTATTCACAGTGAATTTAAAATTTTTATACTCTCATGATCAGAATAGTCTGGATTTTGCTCATTTTTTCTTCTTTCTTAGTCACATAGATTTTATTTGCTATCTCAGGGACAAACAACAGCATTTGCTGCACTTCTCCTTGAGCTATGTCTCCAAACTACCTGACTTTACTTTGTAGTTGTTGTTAGGTGCTGTCAAGTTGGGTCCAACTCATAGTGGCACTCTATTCAACAGAATGAAACAGTCCTCTGCCAGCCTCACAATTCTTGTTACAGCTGAACCCATTGTTGCAGTCATGGTGTCAATCCATCTCATCAAGGGCAAGCCCCTCTTTCATTGACCCTCCACTTTACCAATCATGATATCCTTCTCCAGGGAACGGTCCCTTCTGACAACATGACCAAAGTAGGTGAGACCAAGTCCAGCCATTCTCGCTTCCAAGGAGCATTCCAGCTCCACCTTCATCCAGGACAAATGTATTACTTCTTCTGGCAGTCCATGGTACTTTCAGTATTCTTTGCCAACACCAGAACTCAAAAACATCAATTCTTTGTCTGTCTTCCCTATTCATTGTCCAGCTCTCACATGCATATGAAGCGACTGAAAATACCATGGCTGGGGTTAGTCACACCTTAATCTTCAAAGAGATATCTCTGCTCTTCATTACTGTAAAGAGGTTTTTTGCAACAAATTATTTTAGTGCAATAAGTTCTCTGATGTCTTGACTGCTGCTTCCATTAGTGTGGATTGTGGAAAGCGATATGAAATCTTTGACAATTTCAATATTTTCTCCATTTATTGTGATGCTGCTTATTGGTCCAGTGGTGTGGATTTTCATTTTCTTTATGCTATAATGTAATCTATACTGCAGACTGTAGTCTTTAATCTTCATCAGTCAGTGCTTCATGTCATCCTCACATTCGGCAATCAAAGTTCTGTAGTCTGCATATCCCAGGTCATTAATGAATCTTCCTCCAATCTTGATGCTGCATTCTTCTTCATATAGTCCAGCTTCTTGGATTATTTCCTCAGCATACAAATTGAATAAATATGGTGAAAGGATGCAACACTGATGCACTCATTTCCTGATTTTAAACCATTCAATGTCCCCTTGTTCTGTTTGAATGACAACCTCCTGGTCCATGTACAGGTTCCTCATGAGCACAATTAAGTGTTCTAGAACTCCCATTATTCTCAATGTTATCCACAATTTGTTATGATTCACACAGATGAATGCTTTTGCATAGTCAATAAAATGCAAGGAAACGTCTTTCTGGTATTCTTTGCTTTCAGCCAAGATCTATCTGACATCAGCAATGATAACTCTTGTTCCACGTCCTCTTCTGAATCCAGCTTGCATTTCTGGAAGTTTTCTGTCAATATACTGCTGCAACTGTTTTTGAATTATCTTCAGCAAGACTTTACTTGGGTGGGATATTAATATTGTTCAATAATTTCCACATTCTGTGGGATAATCTCCCTTTGGGATGGGTACAATTATGGATCTCTTCCAGTCAGTTGG